CACCCATGCATGATGTTACAAAGTACAACTGACTACGCTCACCCATGCATGACGTTACAAAGTAAAACTGACTATGCTCACTCATGCATGAATGCCGTTACAAAGTAAAACTGACTACACTCAGTCATGCATGAAAACCAGTGTTCTAGAGCAGGGGTCACCGACTACGGGTCGCGACCCAAATTTGAGTCGCGAAGCCCTCCGCTCTGGGTCGCGAAACAATTTAAATTTTCCATAAATATGAGCATCGCGTCTGTGCAGCGTATTTATGTATAACAACTTTATAAATCTCTGATTATTTTTATGAATGTTTCCCCGAGTATACACTTCCTTATTTACTGCCGTAACATTGGCCAATCAGCATAAGTGCAAAATTGAAGTAACAATGAACGTTTCAAAAGCGCTCAGATACTTTTGCCATTCAGACAGTCTTTCGTGGTTGTGATATTACCTCGTTTGTCAGTTTTGCGTGTTATTTGTTAGATTTTAATTGTGTTTTAGTAAATATAAGTCCTAAACTCACAAAACCATTTGTATCCTACTACGTAGACTTTGGGTTCTCAAAGTGCTCCGTACGGAGCCTCAGGACTCCGTTAAAGACACTTAAAACTGTCCTCGACCCACTGCCCTATCTCCATCTACTTACCTATACTCGACCCACTGCCCGACCTCCCTCAACTTTCCTATTCTCGACCCACCGCCCTATCTCCCTCAACCTTCCTATCCTCGACCCACTACGCTATCTCCTTATCCTCGACCCACTGCCCTATCTCCCTCAACCTTCCTATCCTCGACCCACTACGCTATCTCCCTATCCTCGACCCACTGCCCGACCTCCCTCAACTTTCCTATCCTCGACCCACTGCCCTATCTCCCTCAACCTTCCTATCCTCGACCCACTACGCTATCTCCCCAACTTTCACATTCTCGAACCACCGCTTTATCTCCCGCAACCTCTCTCTTCTCGACCTACTGCCCTATCTCCCTCAACCTCCTATCCTCGGACCCACTGCCCTATCTGCCACAACTTACCTATCTTTGACCTACGGTGCTAATCTATTCGGTACCTGACCTAACGGCGCTTTATTCACGACCCGATCGCCACACTGAACTTTACTATCTTGCGACCAACTTCCATGGGTTATACTGGTCGTGTATGCCAATGAGATGATTCAATCGTACGTCGACAAAACATGATTGACAGCATTCGTATATGTAGGCTGGAATCTCAAATAGTAAACAATAACCTTAATTGGCAGTTTAAAAATGTTTTACTAATTGGGCTACTGATGGTTTTTTGTTGGGGATAACAGTTTTCTAAATTTTAACAAGCCGTGTCATGCCCTTAATAACCTGCCTGTTGGGTTTGCCGTAAACTTTAGCAACCCTCAACATTACTATATATTTATTTGGACCTCTACATTGCAAGAATTATTTACACGTCTATATCTACGATACTGGAATCATTTGTTTTTATCACCACACAATTTCGTCGTTTCATTCATCACATTTACATATTCAAAGTGGTGAAGTTGTTAATTATCGTGAAACCTGGCAGAGATACATCAAAGGAAGTTAATAGCCCGAAATGTCACCGCCCAACACGTTTTAGGCTTCTTGTAGAGCCTCATAATTAATACTAAGTCGCTTATATTCTACATAACATATTGACACACTCTGTTGTATTAGCTTAACATATATGTACAAAACTGCGTGTCGAAACTAAGGATTGGCTGGTATAAATTGTCACGTTTTTGGTTTAAATAGCAAGATCTTGGCCAAAGTGACCTTAGAAAGAAAATTCTCTATGCATGACGTTACAAAGTAAACTGAATACGCTCACTCATGCATGACGTTACAAAGTAAAACTGACTACGCTCCCATGCATGAAGTTAAAAGTAAAACTGACTACGGTCACCCATTCATGACGTTAAAAAGTAAAACTGACTACGCTCACCCATTCATGACGTTACAAAGTAAAACTGACTACGCTCACCCATGCATTAAGTTACAAAGTAAAACTGACTACGGTCACCCATTCATGACGTTACAAAGTAGACCTGACTACGCTCCCAATGCATTGTTACAAAGTAGACCTGACTACGCTCACCCATGCATTAAGTTACAAAGTACAACTGAATACGTGCATTCATGCATACCATTATAAAGTAAAACTGATTCCGCTCACTCATGCATGACGTTACAAAGTAAAACTGACTACGGTCACCCATTCATGACGTTACAAAGTAAAACTGACTACGCTCACCCATGCAAGATGTTACAAAGTAAAACTGACTACGCTCACCATGCATGATGTTACAAAGTAAAACTGAATACGCTCACTCATGCATGATGCTACAAAGTAAAACTGATTATGCTCACTCATGCATGACGTTACAGAGTAAAGCTGACTACGCTCACCCACGCATGAAGCTACACAATAAAACCGACTACGCTCACCTATGCATGGAGTTACAAAGTACAACTGACTACGCTCACCCATGCATGACGTTACAAAGTACAACTGACTACGCTCACCCATGCATGACGTTACAAAGTAAAACTGACTATGCTCACTCATGCATGAATGACGTTACAAAGTAAAACTAACTACGCTCAGTCATGCATGATGTTACAAAGTAAAACGGATTGTGTCACTTATACATGACGTTACAAAGTAAAGCTGACTACGCTCACCCACGCATGAAGCTACAAAGTACAACTGAATACGTGCATTCATGCATAACATTACAAAGTAAAACTGATTCTGCTCACTCATGCATGACGTTACAAAGTAAAACTGACTACGCTCACCCATTCATGACGTTACAAAGTAAAACCGACAACGTTCACCCATGCATGGAGTTACAAAGTACAACTGACTACGCTCACCCATGCATGACGTTACAAAGTAAAACTGACTATGCTCACTCATGCATGAATGACGTTACAAAGTAAAACTGACTACACTCAGTCATGCATGAAAACCAGTTTTCTAGAGCAGGGGTCCGCGACTACGGGGTCGCGACCAAAATTTGGGTCGCGAAGCCCTCCGCTCTGGGTCGCGAAACAATTTAAATTTTCCATAAATATCAGCATCGCGTCTGTGCAGCGTATTTATGTATAACAACTTTATAAATCTCTGATTATAATTATGAATGTTTCCCCGAGTATACACTTCCTTATTTACTGCCGTAACATTGGCCAATCAGCATAAGTGCAAAATTGAAGTAACAATGAACGATTCAAAGGCGCTCAGATACTTTTCCATTCAGACAGTCTTTCGTGGTTATGATATTACCTCGTTTAGTCAGTTTTCGCGTGTTATTTGTTAGATTTTAATTGTGTTTTAGTAAATATAAGTCCTAAACTCACAAAACCATTTGTATCTTACTACGTAGACTTTGGGTTCTCAAAGTGCTCCGTACGGAGCCTCAGGACTCCGTTAAAGACACTTAAAACTGTCCTTGACCCACTGCCCGACCTCTTTCAACTTTCCTATTCTCGACCCACCGCCCTATCTCCTTCAACCTTTCTATCCTCTACCCACAACGCTAGCTCCTTATCCTCGACCCACTGCCCTATCTCCCTAAACCTCCTATCCCGATCCACTACTGCCTCCCTATCCTCGACCCACTGCCCGACCTCTCTCAACTTTCCTATCCTCAACCCACTGCCCTATCTCCCTCAACCTTCCTATCCACGACCCACTGCCCTATCTCCCCCAATCCCAACGCTATCTCCCTATCCTCGACCCACTGCCCGACCTCTCTCAACTTTCCTATCCTCAACCCACTGCCCTATCTCCCCCAACTTTCGCATCCCCGAACCACCACTCTATCTCCCCGAACCTTTCCCCTCTCGACCTACTGCCCTATCCCTCAACTACCTAT